TTAATCACATATTTTATGGGTTCTACAACTCTTCAACAACACATTTCTTAATATTTTACTAAAATTTACTAAAAATTTAATTTTAATCCCCACCAAATAAGAGCTATACACGGACACTCAATAAATGAACATGCTAATTCCTGTTATGTGGTACATATGCTAAATTCCAGAGCAAAGCTGGTGCCTTTGAGGTTGAGGTCTGGTTCGTCATGGTATTTACGTCACATTTCCCAGATGAGTTTCAGAGCTTCGTACATATTTCAAGAGGGTAATGAGGCTGCAAATGGTTTGGCTGCATGTACAGGGATAGACGCAGATATTATGAGTTAGGAGGCACAATCAATTTTTTTAAATGGAATAAGTTGATAAAGAAAAAAAATATAGTATCTTCTTAGCCATGATTCTTACAAAGAAAGAAAACCTTGAACAGAAACATAGTATAGCAATTATCAATTTGTCCATTTCAGATCAAATATTTACTGACCTACCATAAGTACGTAGTCGGCATTTATCAATTTTGTCCATTCCAGATCAAATATCATTTTCGAGACATTAATATGACATAAATTATGTCCTTGACAGCAAACATTTAGAGAAAAAAATGATCTTAATTACCAAACTCGGCTTTATTTTTGAGGTGCATTATCGAGTCAAATTCTTCGAAGATCCTTGCAGCCACAATCAGAGAAGGATTAAACTTTTGTTCTGTATGATTGGTAGAGACATTAAATGTGAAAAAATGGGGCATTGGATTCCCATTTCCCCCCTACTTTTCCTTTCCTATTTCTTCCACAACGGGGATAAAATTCACTAAATTACTATTTTCCTCTCAATTTTCAAATTTCAGTCCGCTAGGAAGAATACCCTCAATTCTTTGCTCCATTTCCCTCTATTCTTCTTTTATATATACTTCTTTGTGAATCCTCTTCTAATTTTCAATTTTGTTTCACTTCCAGCCTTTCACACACACCTGCTATTCAATTACCACTTCCATCAAAATTTCTATTTTCCAGACGAAGGCAATCAACCCCCCAATTTCTTATTTCCTTTTTTCCCATTTTCTATTCCAACTATTTGAGCAGAGTTAACCGCAAGTTTAGGAATTCCACAACTTTCCATTCAATTAATTGTAACGACTCTTTCCATATGCAACATATAATTTCCCCATTTCATTTTAATTGAGCATAACTGACCAAATTCCTTTTATCTTTGGAATTTCTTGGAATCATTATTGAATCATAACTCACTATTAGCATAACCATAAATTAACTCTTTATTCACTGGTCACATATCATCAAATTAATTGGTCATAAATTATTTCGAGGTCACAAATCAAAATTTTGATAGGTCACAAATTATTTCAAGGTCACAAATCACAATTTATCTAACGATTTTATAGATCACAATTTATGTTATTGATCACAAATTCAAAAAATTATAGGTTACAAGTCACATACTTTTAAATTTGATGGTCACAGATTAGTTTTTTAGTCACAAAATGATCGAATTTGAAAGTTACAGATTAATAGTCAGTCACAAGCACTGAATAGTTTGTCACAGACACCAAGCACCCAATCCAATCCACCACAATACCACCACCACCACCACCTCCACCGCCACTGGCCATCGCCCTCACCCTATCACCATCGCCACCAACACCAATACCAACACCAAAAAATTGACGACCACCACCGTGGTCACCTGCAACATATTTACAAACACTAACAAACATCCCT